GCATGATGCATTGAGCACAAGGTCTTTTATCAATGCATTTAAGTTTTTTTTCTTGGCAGAATTTGCATGCAGATGTAACATAGCATCGATCTTTCATTTTTACTTGTATTAGTGATGAAAAGAAAATTTGCATCATTTAAATATTTTTCCAGATAAACAAATCCGGATAAACTCTCATTTGATGAACCTGTATTTAGAAATGATTCTCAAATTCGATTGTTCTGTAGGAATTTTCTCAGCCTTCAAGATTATCCTTATTTGGTATCTATGAATGCTAATTTAATATTTCCAAATCGATTCTTATTCCCTTCTGTTATCTTTAAACTTTAATCTAAATTTTTTCGATTGTTTATACTTCACTTACAAATTTACACCTATTCAAATTTTTTTGTTACAAACATGTCTTTATTTCAAACTTCATCTGGCAGGATTCCAAACAACCAATAGGAGATCTATGATGATTTACCTCTCTCTTATAATAAGTCACAAGCATCAGGTATTTAAACATCTCTGTTTTTTTACATGATTGCTGTAAATATTTTTATACAATTTTTTACAAACAAATTTTTACAATTTCTTTATCAACAATAACAAAACTTTATTTTCAACAACATTCATAACAAAATGACTACTACTTTTTATCCAGTTGTCAAACAAATTGAGACTATAACTGATGAAGTTGTTGCATCATCTGATGGTATGATTTATAAATTTTTTATTAAAAAATATTAATTTGTTAAATATATTTTATTATTTAGACATGACTTACTTGTCAGAAAGACTGACAAGTGAATTTTCTCAATATGAGAACAAAATTTGTTCTCTTGAAAACTCAATTTTGACTTTAACAGATTATTTAAAGTCTTTAAAAAAATTTATTTTTGTTTTAATTTTTATTATATTTATTATTTTATTTTTATTTGGTACTTATATAGTTTATACACAGAATGTTCATTTAATGAATATTCAACTTCTTAGTTCTCGTGTTGAAGTCGAAATGAAAAAGGAGCTTTTTAACAATTATTTAGAACTGATTCAAAAACAGTTCTTAGAATTTGTTGAATCGATTAAAATAAAATAGATTTTTTTTTAATAATTGATATCACTATTGCCAAGAGTGTGTCTTGGCATTGTTCTTCTTCATTTAAGCTCAATATTTCTGTACACATATTGAATTTAAATGAAGAAGAACAATCATTTATCACTCATTTATTAAATAAATTTAAAATATTTTGTTATCGAAATATATTTTATAAATGTAAAGTACATATTGTTAAATGTTAAAGAAATCTATATTTTTTAAAATTTTTACCAATAAAAAATAATAAGTTTTTAAACATCTTTAAGAATTATTATTATTTTCGCCATTGAGTTCAACATTCTTTTATTCTTCGGTATATAAAAAAATTTTCTTGTCCAAAGTAATATTTTATATCATCACATTTATTTATACTTGCAAGATAAATATTTTGTATACTTCTATTATAAGAGATTAAATATCTTCTATTGTGTTTTTTCAGTGCTAATAGCATTTTCATTACAGTAATAGTTTTTTTGTCTTTATATTCTACATATGTAATAATGTTTTGGTTTTTGTGTTTTCACTTGATAGCGCAATTTGTAATCGATCAGAAAGATAAATGGATTAAGAAGAGTTCATAGGCATTTGTAATTACAACATAATTTTATATAATATATATAAGTTTTTATTATATTACTTTATTTATTATTTGTATTACAATATTATATTATAAATAACAAATAAAAAAAAAACAAAAATGTTCAGACTTTCTCAATGCTTTTTAACAATTTTAACAAGTAATAATATTTATTTTATTGTCTTTTGTTTTTTTTTAAAAAAAACTAATAATTAATAATAATATTTATTGATAGATGGAGAACAAAGAAATTGAATTCCAAGACTATATAATTAAAATTGAAGAACATGTTGATATTAAAATTCTTTTCTTTAAAGAAGAAGAGAAAATTCCAGAAAATATTATTTGCAAGAAAAAATCAAATAAGTCTGAAATTATAAAAAGTGATATTGTAAATGAACGAGAAGAATTTATTCTTTCAAAATATCATAGTTATATTATTTCTTTAAATGTTTATAATGGTGTTCAGAGTATATTGATCCATGGATTAAGTGGATAATAATTTTTGTATTATAGCTTTATATTAGTTTATATTCAATAAAGTTTTTATTTAACAGTTGATAT